GCCACAGGGGCACTGGAACATGCTGGCGGCAGTATCTGAGGTGGCCACAGGGAAGGAGGCTGCCTGCCACAAGCTGAGCAGGAGCCCGACCGTCCTGACCTCAGTTGCTCCCTGAGCCGAATATCCTGTTTCAGTCGGCTGGATGAGGAGGGTGCTTGAGATGGTGAGGTGGGCACCCGGGTCTGCTCTTCCCACTGGATTCCAGGTCGGACAGTGTGGGCAGGTATTGGGTCACGTGGGGCTGGAGATTTAGTCTGCTGAGGTGTGGTGGGGTGTTGGTGAACCCCAGAAAGATGCCTGAAACCCTCCGTGAGGGTGTAAGCAGAACGTTGCCTGGCTCCATGAGCTCACTGCCCCGTTTCAACCTGGACCATGCACCAAGGGGCCCTGCCTTGTTGTCCAAGCCCAGGGACCCCTGCTTCTCAGTGCTGCTGGCCAGAGAAGGAGTGAAGAAAGATGAAGCAGCAAGCGCAGAGACAGCGGCACAGGCAGTAAAACCCGGAACTGGCCTCCCCTTGGGGTGGATCCGGTGGTGAGAGCACCTCAGAAACTATCTGGGGTGAAGCCCAATCCCAAGACCGGTGTCCAGGCAAGCCGCTGAGGACCACCATGGAAGCCAAGCACAACATGCTAACGGATTTTAGTCACCTTATTGTTTTCACGGAAAAGATTATCATCTTGCTACAAAGTGTTTCCCTGAAATTGCTTTGACGACCTGTACACGGAGGTCCATTGTCAATTTGTCCTGTGTAGAGAAAAACAATTCCCGGTGTGAAAAATGCAGATTCTCTCTTTTATGTGCTGTGCCCTCTGTCTGGAAACTGCTTACCCCCAATACCTTACTTCTCACACTGGTTACCACTCTCTATTAACATCTTGGCCCAGGCAGGGTATGGTGGCACTTTCTTATAATCCCAGCAATTTCGCAGGCTGAGGTAGGAGGATTGCATGAGCACAGAAGTATTTGATTTTGTTTTGCTTTGCTTTTTCTTTTGTTTGAGACAGAATCTTGCTCTGTCACCAAAGCAGGAGTGCAGTGGGTGATTTCAGACAACTGAAAACTCCACCTTCCAGGTTCAAGCCATTCTGCTGACTCAGCCTTCTGAGAAGTTGGGAATGCAGGTGCCTGCAACCATGCTGAGGTTTTTTTTTTCGGAAACAGAGTTTTACTCTTGTTGCCCAGGTTTTAGTTCAGTGGAACCATTTTGGCTCACTGCAATCTCCACCTCCCAAGTACAAGCAATTCTCCTGTCTTAGCCTCCGAAATGCCTGAGATTACATTCATGTGCCACCCCACTTGTGACATGGAGCCTCCTTCCTAGGGGCCTCATCCGACACCTCCGCCAGCATTATCCCACGCCACTGCTGCAGGTTGGTGCCGGAGAGCCTACATAGCGGATGGCCAGTCGGGAATGCCAATGCATATGCGCAAGTGGCGGGTGACAAGCTCAAAAGACCACTCGGGGCTCATGTCACAATGACGACCGCCCCCATGGCCTAATGAACTGCCATTTCAGCGGCTTGGCAAGGCAGGGGCCTTCCTCGGCAGTGCTTCAGTTTGGGCCATTACCTCCCTTCTCCCGGAGAACGTTGCCACGGTCCCGTGATTTCAGGAGTCAGGCAGGGTGGAGCCAGGCTGAGGAAAGCTGCAGAGGAGCTTCAGGGATGCCCAGGGCAATCCCCAATGATCCCCAGGATACTTCAGGCCTGCTCAAATGCTGTGGGGAATGTGTCTCCTTGAAAGCTGTCCCTGCTGGGAATTCCAGGTCCAACCAGCCTGTGTGCTGGGGGCTGCTCTCTCCCCAAGGGGCTTCCTGGCAGAGAGTAGAACTCCACAGCCTCAGGAGCTGTCTGCAACTGTTCAATGTCTCCGTTTGGCTTTCTTTCTGTGTGAGTTTGTGTGTGTGTGTGTGTCTGTGTGTGTCTGTGTGTGTCCATGTGTATCCTTCTGCATGTTTACATATGTGTGTTTGAGTCATGTATAAACATAAGTGTGACCAGTGCACTCCAGCACGGTTGCTCTCTAGTCTGGCTACATTTTGGTAGATGTGCGTCCTCAGTGGCTTAGGCACAGTGGGGCCCCACCTTCTTTGTGTTGCTCCTGGTTTCTGAAGCCTTAGTGTAATGGAGGTCTGGCTCCCTCCTGCAGCCCTCCTACTCACCTGCAAATCCCGAAGGGGCGTCACTCCTGCAGAAAGTAGACGAGCACAGCAGAGCTAAAACCATACGCTTCCATGGGCCCTTAGTCCTGCCGCATAAGTAGGGCTGGTACTGTCCTCAGGTCCCCTTTAAGGACTACAGTGTTGGTAGGTTTCCTAGATAGAATTCTTGTGAAGAACACAGATTTTCATTCCTGTGTCAGAGAGAGCCTGAGATTCTGTATTTTGAGTAGGTTCTTGAGATGACAGTATTGATGGGTCATGATTGATATTTGCAGGAGCCAGACTCAGTATTGTTCTTTGGAAGTCATTACTGTAGACTTGGCTTCTGCATTTAAGGGCCTCTTCTGGATATTGTCTTCACTTTTCTTCCTAATTTCCTTTGTGACATAATTCACACACATTGATGGGCAAGAGAGATGGAAACAGAGACATAGTTCCTAAATTGCCATTTCTTGACTTACTCATTGAATGGACTCTTTGCTTCTTCAGGGACAGATTAAATGGTCTGCAGCTAGCCATAGGATGAAATCACACTGGGCTTGCTATGAGGAAGAATTGAAATGTCAATAAGGTAGAAAAACATTAACAGATTACTAGTATCATGTCATTGTGTTCAGAATGATTTGGTACCTACTCTCGCTTGGGAATAATCCTTGACCTAAGCTGTCCAAGTAATTCTGGGGAGCAGTGCCTGCTTTCTTTTCCAGTCTCTAAGGAAAAGTGGTCTGCATGTGGGAATGGCAACATCTACGCAGAGGCTGTGATGTGATTGGTGGAGTTTTCTAAATATTGACTGCAAATACGCATGTACTTATAGTTTTTTTTTTAAACATCTGTATACCTTCATTGAAATGGTCAGTGTAATCTGAACTGTACAATGTGAATTTTAGCTGAATTACTTTACAGGGATGCTTTCTCTGGCATTGTAACTGGTTTGACCTTAACTAGGACTTAGGAGCTGTGAGACCTTTTCCTTCTACTTTTCTTCTGCTGCTGGCAAATTCTCTCTTTCCATCAAGACAAATGAACCTGCCTACCTGTGGACAAACTATGTGTGTAAGATGATCCCAGGTTTAGTATTTCAGCTGTAGAAGTAACACCTGACAAGCTGGGAAAACTGACACGATCTGAGTAAATGCTAATCACAGACATTTATGAAAGTATACATACAGTACACTTAATTTGTTACTTTTCATTTTCCATGGCATCGATGGTCACAACATATACTGGTCCCATAAAGTATGAATGATAAATAAATATTTTCTCAAGAGCCTAACTAAAGCAACCATGTTTGACAGAGGAAACTTATTTTGTCCTTCAAACCCTTGATATGGTCTGGAGTTTCCATGTTGTTGTTGTTATTATAGCTTTGCCAGAGAAGCAGAGGAGGAAAACAGCTTTGTTCCTGAGGGAGGAAAACATGAAGTTGGAAGAAGTTACGCACCTTTCCACAGACTTACCTTTGAGAAGATTTCTTTCTGAAAATTGTTTGCCTTATATTCTTATCCTGTTTTCTTTTATTAGCTCTTGGATGGCAGGAAAGAGCTCCAAAAGAGAGAAGAAAAAGAGAGTCTGTGCTGGAAAAGAAGCCCCAGGCTGAAGACTGGAGATCTAAATGTGCAACTTGCAAGAGCACTGGAGACAATGAAACTCCTGTCAGGTAAGTTGGATGCTCAAAGCTTGTGTGGAGGGGATGAAGGCATCATGTTTAGGATTTGCTCATCGCAGCAAACATGTAAAACCAAACGGCAGGGTAGGACCTTCCTTAAACTAAAATTTAGTAAAAACAGTCCTTCAGAAACAGATTTCATCCACTGATTCACCTCCCACACACGGTTACCGTCTGGACTTAGGTGTCCATAAGAGTGAGAATCTGCATTTTTCACAACGGGAATTATTTTTCTCTCGACAGGTCAAGTTGTCAAGGGGTCTTTGTGTGGAGGCCATCAAAGCAATTCTGATCAAAACACTTGCTCGGAAGGTGATGAAGTTTTCTCTCAAAACAATAAAGTGACTAAATCCGTTAGCATACTGTGTTTGGCATTCATAGAAGTCCTCAGTGGCATGCCTGGATATCCGTCTCGGGATTTGGCTTTGCCCCAGAAAGCTTCTGAGAGGCTGTCTGCACCCAATCTGCCCTCAGGAGAGGCCAGATGCAATTGTTGCCTCCTCTACTGCTAGCAGCGTTTGCCCTGGCTTTTTCTTTCTTGCCGCCTACTCTGGACAGAAGGGATGAGAAGCAGGGGTCCCTGGGCTTGCAGAGCAAGGCAGGGCCCCTTGGTGGGTGGCCCAGGTCAAAGGAGGTGCAGTGAGCTCAGGGAGCTGGGGAACATTGGCCGACACCCTCACGGAAGGTCTCAGACATCTTTCTGGGGACCCCACCACACCTCACCAGACTGAATCTCCAGCCCCGTGGGACCCGATCCTTGCCCATGCCGTCCGATTCAAAATCTACTGGGGAGAGTAGTCCGGAATGCCCACCTGGCGGTCTGAAGCGCCCTCCCCCTTCAGTGGAACGGAACAGTGGAACGGAAAACCGGTTCAGGGAGTCGCTGAAGTCAGGGCGATAGGGCTCCTGCCCTGCTTGTCGCACGCAGCCTCATTTTCCGGAGCCGCCTCGGACACCTCCGCCAGCATCTTCCCACGCCACTGCTGCCAGCCAACCGGGGAGCGCGGACATCGCGGCTGGCCGGCCAGGAACGCCAATGCGCATGCGCAAGCGGCTGGTGACAACCGCGAGGGCCCACCGGAGGCTCACGTCACAGTGACCGCCCCCGTGGCCTGGGGAACCGCCGTCTCAGCGGCTGGGCAAGGCGGCCCTCCGTGGCAGTCCTTTGGCATTGGGCAACGGCCCACCCCCGTCTTTCGGGATCGTCGCCCAGGTCCCGTGATTTCAGGATTCCCGCAGGGTGGAGCCAGGCTGAGGAAAGCTGCAGGGGAGCTTCAGGGATGCCCAGGGCGATCCCCAAGGATCCCCAGGATACTTCAGGCCTGCTCAGACGCTGTGGGAAATGCGTCTCCTTGAACGCTGTCCCTGCTGGGAATTCCAGGTACTGCCAGGCTGTGTGCTGAGGGCTGCTCTCCCCCCGAGGGGCTTCCCGTCAGAAAGCAGAACCCGAAGCTTCAGGAGCTGTCTGCACCTGTTGGATGTCTCCGTGTGTCTACCTGTGTGTGTGTGTGTGTGTGTGTGTGTGTGTGTGTGTCTGTCTGTCTGTCTGTCTATATGTGTTCATGTGTATCTTTCTGCGTGTTTATATGTGTGTGTTCGAGTCTTGTATGCTGGACATAAGTGTGACCTGTGCACTCGATCGCGGTTGCTAGTCTGGCTACCTTCTGCTGGATGTGTGTCCTCAGCGGCTTAGGAGCTGCGGGTCCCCGCCTTCTTTGTGTTGCTCCTGGTTTCTGAAGCCTTAGTGTAGTAGGGGTCTGGCTCCCACATGCAGCCCTCCTAATCACCTGCCCATCCCAAGGGAAGGTCACTCCTGCAGAAAGTAGACGAACACAGCACAGTGGAAACCATACTCTTCCATGGCCCCTTGGTCCTGCCGCACAGGTAGGGATGGTACTATCCTCAGGTCTTTTTCAGGGACTACTGTGTTGGTAGGTTTTCTGGTTAGGATTCTTGTGAAGAACACAGATTTTCATTCCTGTGTCAGAGAGAGCCTGAGATTCTGTATTTTGAGTAGGTTCTTGAGATGACAGTGCTGATGGGTCATGATTGATATTTGCAGGAGCAAGACTCAGGATTGTTCTTTGGAAGTCATTACCGTAGATGTGGCTTCTGCATTCAAGGGCCTCTTCCTAATTTCCTTCCTGAGATAATTCAAACACATTGATGGGCAAGAGAGATGGAAACAGAGACATAGTTCCTACATTGCCTTTTCTTGATTTACTCACTTAATGGACTCTTTGCTTCTTCAGGGACAAATTAAATGATCTGCAGTTTGCCATGGGATGAAATCACACTTGGCTTGCTATGAGGAAGAATTGAAATGACAATAAGGGAAGAAAACATTAACAGATTACTAGTATCATGTCATTGTGATCAGAATGATTTGGTACCTACTCTCACTTGGGAATGATCCTTGATCTCAGCTGTCCAAGTAATTCTGGGGAGCAGTGCCTGCTTTCTCTTCCAGTCTCTAAGGAAAAGTGGTCTGCATGTGGGAATGGTGACATCTACACAGAGGCTGTGATGTGATTGGTGGAGTTTTCTAACATATTGACTGCAAATATCCAGGTACTTACAGTCTTTCTTAAACATCTGTATACCTTCATTGAAATGGTCAATGTAATCTGAACTGTACGATGTGAATTTTAGCTTTTAGCTGAATTACTTTACAGGAATGCTTTCTATGGCATTGTAACGGGTTTGACTTTAACTAGTACTTAGGAGCTGTGAGACCTTTTCCTTCTGCTCTTCTTCTGCTGCTGAGAAATTCTCTCTGTCCATAAAGATGCATGCACCTGCCTACCTGTGGCCAAACTACGTGTGTAGGACAATCACTGGATTTAGCATTTCAGCTGTAGAAGTCACACCAGACAAGATCGGAAAACTGACATGCTCTGAATAAATGCTAATCACAGACATTTATGAAAGTATACATACAGTACATTTAATTTGTTACTTTTTATTTCCCATGGCATCGATGGTCACAACATATGCTGGTCCCATAAAGTATGAATGATAAATAGTTATTTCCTCAAGAGCCTAACTAAAGCCACCATGTTTGACAGAGAAAACTTATTTTGTCCTTAAGCAAACCCCCGATATGGTCTGGAGTTTCCATGTTGTTCTTGCTATTGTAGTTCTCCCAGAGAAGCAGGAGGAAAACAGAGCTTCGTTCCTGAGGGAGGAAAACATGAGGTTGGAAGAAGTTACACACCTTTCCACAGCCTTACCTTTGAGAAGATTTCTTTCTGAAAATTATTTCCGTTATATCCTTATCCTGTTTTCTTTTATTAGCTCTTGGATGGCAGGAAAGAGTTCCTAGAGAGAGAAGACAAAGAGCGTTTGTGCTGCAAAAGAAACCCCAGGCTGAAGACTGGAGATCTGAATGTGCAAACTGCAAGGGAACTGGAGACAATGAAACTCCTGTCAGGTAAGTTGGATGCTAGAAGCTTGTGTGGAGGGGATGAAGGTTCCGTGTTTATGATTTGCCCATAACAGCAAACAAGTAAAACCAAACCGCAGGGTAGGACCTGCCATAAAATAGAATTTAGTGAAAACAGTCCTTCAGAAACAGATTTCATCCACTGATTCACCTTCCACACACGGTTACAGTCTCGACTTGTGTCCATAAAAGTGAGAATCTACACTGAGAATTATTTTTCTCTCGACAGGTCAAGTTGACAAGGGGTCTCAGTGTAGAGGCCATCAAAGTAATTTTGGTCAAAACACTTGGTGGCAAGATGATGAAGTTTTCTGTTGAAACAATAAAGTGACTAAATCCGTTAGCATGTTGTGCCTGGCGTTCATCGGTGTCCTCAGCAACATGCCTGGATATCCGTCTCAGGATTTGGCTTCACCCCAGAAAGCTTCTGAGAAGCTGTCTTCACCCAATCTGCCCCCAGGGGAGGCCAGATGTAGTTGTTGCCTCCTCTACTGCAGGCTACACATGCCGCAGCTTTTCCTTTCTTGCCGCCTTCTCCGGACAGCAGTGATGTGAAGCAGGGCTCCCTGGGCTTTCAGAGCACTAGGCAGGGCCCCTTGGTGGGTGGCCCAGGTCTCAGGAGAGGCAGTGAGTCTAGGGAGCTGGGAACATTCGCCGACACTTTCCCGGAGGGTCTCAGGCATCTTTCCGGGGTCCAGGGACCCCCACCACACCTCACCAGACTGAATCTCCAGCCCCTTCGGACCCGATCCCTGCCCATGCCGTCTTATCCAGAATCTACTGGGGAGAGTAGTCCAAAATACCCACCTCGTTTTCTGAAGCTTCCTTCCTCTTCAGAGGACCGGAATAGGAAAACCGCTTCAGGGAGCCGCTGAAGTCAGGACGATAGGGCTCCTGCCCTGCTTGTGGCCTGCAGCCTTCTTTCCAAGGGCCGCCTAAGACACCTCTGCCAGCATTTTTCCAAGCCACTGCTGCCGGCTGGTGGGGGTGCAGACATAGCGGCTGGCCAGCCGGGAATACCAATGCTCATGTGCAGTCGGCGGGTGGCAAGCGCGAGCGCCCACCCGAGGGTCACGTCACAGTGACCGCCCCCGTGGCCTGGGAAACCGCCGTCTCAGCGGCTTGGCCAGGCAGGGGCCCTCCGTGGCAGTGCTTCGGCGTTGGGCAACGACCCCTTCTCTAACGTCGATCGTCGCCACAGTACCGCGATTTCAGTAGTTTCTGCAGGGCGGAGCCAGGCTGAGGAAAGCTGCAGAGGAGCTTCAGGGATGCCCAGGGCGATCCCCAAGAATCCCCAGGATACTTCAGGCCTCCTCAGATGCTGTGGGGGATGCGTCTCCTTGAAAACTGTCCCTGCTGGGAATTCCGGATACTGCCAGCCTGTGTGCTGGGGGCTGCTCTCTCCCTGAGGGGCTTCCTGGCAGAGAGCAGAACCCCACAGCCTCAGGAGCTGTCTGCAACTGTTGGATGTCTCCGTGTGTCTTTCTGTATGTGTGTCTCTGTGTGTGTGTGTGTGTGTCTGCATGTGTCTATGTGTGTCCATGTGTATTTTTCTGCGTGTTTATATGTGTGTGTTCGAGTCGTGTATGCTGGACGTAAGTGTGGCCTGTGCACTCAGGCAAGGTTGCTCTCTAGTCTTTCTACCTTCTGGTGGATGTGCATCCTTAGCGGCTTAGGCGCTGTGGGGCCCCGCCTTCTTTGTGTTGCTCCTGGTTTCTAAAGCCTTATTGTAGTGGGGGTCTGGCTCCCACCCGCAGCTCTCCTAATCGCCTTTTCATCCCAATGGGGGGTCACTCCTGCAAAAAGTAGACAAGCACAGCACAGTGAAAACCATACTCTTCCACGGGCCTTTCGTCCTGCTGCACAGGTAGGACTGGTACAGTCCTCAGGTTTCCTTCAGGGAAGGTGAGAGAGTAAATTAGTTCAACCATTGTGGAAGACAGTGTGGCAATTCCTGAAGGACCTATAAACAGAAATTCCATTTGACCCAGCCATCCTAATACTGGGTATATATCCAAAGGATTATAAATCGCTCAACTATCAGAACACATGCACACGAATGTTCATTGCAGCAATGTTTACAACATCAAAGACCTGGAATCAACCCAAAGGCCCATCGATGGTATACTGGACAGTGAAAACGTGGCCCATATTCACCCGGGAATATTATGCAGCAATCAAAAACGATGAGTTCATGTTCTTTGTAACCTGGATGAACCTGTAGAACATCATTCTCAGCAACTGACACAAGAACAGAAAATGAAATACCACATGTTCTCACTCATAAGCGGGTGTTGAACAATGAGAACACATGGAAACAGGGAGGGGAGCACTACACACTGGGGTCTGTTGGGGGGAATAGCGGAGGGACAGCAGGGTGTAGGGAGTTGGGGAGAGATAGCATGGGGAGAAATGCCAGATAAAGGTGAAGAAGAGGAAGTCAGCAAATCACACTTTCATGTGTGCACCTATGCAACTATCTTGCATGTTCTTCACATGTACCCCAAAACATAAAATGCAATTAAAAAATAAAGAAACAACAATCATCACTCTTTGAACAACATATTTGTCTAAGTTTTTTGATAACCATGATTTCTTCTTGTTGCTCTGAATTGTTTCTAGAAAGTAAGGTGTCTTGATATCCAACTACCTTTTTCTACTCTCTTAATGCACTTTTAAATCACCAGAATCTCACCTTAATTTTTCCAATCCAATTAGCCTTATGATATTTGTTCTTCAAGGTCCAGTGCTCTTTGGTGTAACACAGGCAATGTCTACAGGATGAACAGTTCTGCTTTTGTTTTTGTTTCTTCCACAGTTCCAGCTGCTTCTTGAAAACCTGACTGCTTTATTCGGAGTTGGTTTCTCCTCACTAGTTGTTCTTAATACCTACATCTTTTAGAAAACTATTCATATCATTTGATATTATTTCAAAAGCAGATGCTTTTTTCAATTAAGATACTTAATAATTTTCATGATTGTTAACCAATGCTTGGGTCCTACCTGAACATCTATCATTTGAAAGTTAAGATTCAAACAAAGTTCAAGAAGCAAGTTTACATACACGAAACAATTTTATCTCCAAAAGTCCTTTACTAAGTTAATTCTTAAAGTAGATGAACATCACCCAGGCCTGGGTTTCACACCTATCAATGCACCCTCCACTGGACTGCTCAGGCCTGGGTTCTGTGCCCACTGTTGAAAAGGGTGAGATCTAACTCCCAAATGATAGAGTCCTGTTACCAGAAGAATGGAGAATGGATGCTGGGCAGGCAAAGCCAATAAAAATATATATATATACTTGAGCAGGGGCAAGAGCTCATGACTGTAATACCAGCACTTTGGGAGGCTGAGGTGGGCAGATCACAAGGTCTGGAGATCGAGACCATCGTGGCTAATATGGTAAAACCCTGTCTCTGACAAGAATATCAAAAATTAAGTGAGCTTGGTGGTAGGTGCCTATAATCCCAGATACTCGGAAGCTGAGGCAGAACAATCGCTTGAACTTAGGAGGTGGAGATTGCAGTGAGCCGATATCATGCTACTGCAGTCCAGCCTGAGCGACAGAGCAAGATTCCATCTAAAAAAATGATATACTTATTTCTCTTCTCCTCTCCCTTGTTCTTGCTTTGCTTTTTCCTAGAATGTCAGAGTAGGCCCTAGATATAAAATCATAAGTTTAACATCACAATCAATTGAAGAAGTGCGAACATTTCAGAATTAAACATAATTATAATGTCACAATGCTATGTTAAATAGATGTTAAATTAAATCAAAAGATAGAAATATATGATTGGTTAGTGCAAAAAAATATTTCTCATGTAGATGTTTTCTGTAATTAAAAAATGTCAGCTAGAATACTTCAAAATTTCTTCAAATTTATCAGACTTAAATACAGGTCTTGAAAAAAGTAATTTTTGTCAACTTTAAAAAATTTAAAAACAAGCCCTTCTTATGAGAAAATAAAATAAATCTTTATCTATTAAAGAGTCTAATTAAAAGATAAAAATTCAAAGCTTTTTATACATGTATCCCACAGATATCTATAAATTAAGCCTTAAACTGTCATGTTATAATGCTGTTTCAGTGTCTAAATAAAAACCTAGGTTTCTAATTTTCTTTTTTTTTAATTTTTTATTGGATTATAGGTTTTGGGGTACATGAGCAGAGCATGCAAGACAGTTGCATACGTACACACATGGCAGTGTGGTGCTTTGCTTTTCTTCTCCTCTTCACCCACATTTGGCATTTCTCCCCAGGCTATCCCTCCCCACCACCCCCTCCCACTGGCCCTCCCCTTTTCCCCCAATAGACCCCAGGGTTTAGTACTCCCCTTTCTGTGTCCATGTGTTCTCATTTTTCATCACCCGCCTATGAGTGAGAATATGCGGTGTTTCATTTTCTGTTCTTGTGTCAGTTTGCTGAGGATGACGTTCTCCAGATTCATCCATGTCCCTACAAACGACACGAACTCATCATTTCTGATTGCTGCATAATATTCCATGGTGTATATGTGCCACATTTTTCCAATCCAGTCTATTATCAATGGGCATTTGGGTTGATTCCAGGTCTTTGCTATTGTAAACAGTGCTGCAATGAACATTCGTGTACATGTGTCCTTATAGTAGAACGATTTATAGTCTTTTGGATATATACCCAGTAATGGGATTGCTGGGTCAAATGGAATTTCTATTTCTAAGGCCTTCGCCACACTGTCTTTCACACTGGTTGAACTAATTTACACTCCCACCAACAGTGTAAAAGTGTTCCTTTTCTCCACATCCTCTCCAGCATCTGTTGTCTCCAGATTTTTTAATGATCGCCATTCTAACTGGCGTGAGATGGTATCTCAATGTGGTTTTCGATTTGCATCTCTCTGATGACCAGTGACGATGAGCATTTTTTCATATGATTGTTGGCCTCATATATGTCTTCTTTCGTAAAGTATCTGTTCATATCCTTTGCCCAC